AGCTTATAAACATCATGATCATTTCATTTCATGACTCAGAAATCTTCCAACTTCAGTTATAAAAGGAAAGATTACTGTTGTAAGATGTGCACCCAAGATGTGTTTGTGCAATACGATAAATTATCAATATACATTTATTGTAATTAAGCTTCCTCAACATGCAGTTTAAAGTTCTGTAGCTCATATAAAAACCATGCTAGTCTAGTGCTAGTTTTGGCTAGCAGGTAGCATTTATTACCCTTGATCGTAACACATCAGTAATGTGACAAAGAGGAAATACTTTTTTCTTCATGAAAATAAGTACACAACCTCTGGGTGCCAAAGACTTTTAATGACTCTCGTGAACACTTACGGCTGGCTCCATAAGTGTTTCAAACCCTGTTAGCTTCCATGTTAAAATGCCTGAATGCAACCAAATAGCTAGCGTTAGCTGACACCCATAGCCAATGTTAGACCATTCACAGCGACTACTCCATCTTTTATCTCCAGTGTATACTGAGAATGGACAATGACACCGTGCTCCACAGATCTAACTAATACTTAAGCTATCTTTCTATGCTATACTTGACTCACACATCGCATTCTGCAGCAGAGCAACACTTCCAATAAATAACTCTCTGGTAAAAAAAAAAACAACAACAACAACCTTTATAGTAATAAGTGAGAATGTGAGAAACACAGCATGACACCAGGAGGTAAAGAGCAGGAAGTTGATTGAGGCAGGTGCCTCACAGCCAACACGGAGGTATAAAGACTGAAGAGAAGGAAGGGGAAGCAATGCACAAGTCAACAAAGGTTATCTGGGACAATTTTAGCAGTAAAGAGCAGACACTGTGTGATATATAACAGTTTTAAAGATGTAATGGTGACACTACAGAGAATGGAATAAGGCCACCGAGGGAGGATAAGAGGGGCAAGATTTTGAGCTTTCATTGTTGCGCTGTGTGACAGAAGGATAATTACTGTTGCGAGAAGAAGAGGAGAATGAGTGCATTTAAAGTGTCTGTACCGTGCAGTCCCTCTGCTTCTCCTGCCAAGCTAAGGTCCAGCCATGTAGTAGCTCTGTCTCTTTTCCCCTAAACAGCTTTGTGAGTTAAAAGCTCTTGGCTCTGAGTTTGTTGCCAGCTATTTGAACAGACTTTTGCAGGCCTTCCCTACCCACAGAGGAGTAATACCCTCCGACTATGTGTACATAGGTGAGTGCATACTACAGTCGTTGTGAATTAATTACTAGGGACCAATAACGTATTTCTCCTGGACAGTCGGTTTTAAAGTGTGTGACAGTGTCGTACGTCTCAGTCTGCAAACACAGAAGGGATTTGTGGGTATACTTACTGGGTCAGGTTGCTGGAAAGTAAATTAGGCGGAGAGAAAATACTCTGGGTGTCTGAGACAGAAAGGTTAATGGCTTTATGAGATTGCAGTGACATATTATTGCAAACACCTCAGCGCAAACAAATTATTTGATTGTGATATTGAAGAATGTAGCAGTTGTTCCTGCCTGTTAATGGAATATTAAATCCACAGGGTGTGGATATGTGTAACTGTGCCTTACAGTGCCGTGTACGTACATCCTCGTATTGTTTTTGTCAGGGCTCTGTGTGCGGGCAGGTGGAGATGTGGATCCAAGTGCAGGACTCTGAGACGGAAATATAACTGAAAACCACAGCTTTATTGCTGGCACCAACAAAACAGAAA